CGGCTCCCGTAACTTTTGGGTTCGCCCACTTGCCGCTTCCTGAGGCGGCCTCTGCGGAGTGGCGAGCTGTAAACGGGGCAAAAACAGCCTTGGCTTTTTTGAGAGGTCGGTATGTTTGGGAAACCCCCCTGCTTTGGCTGCATCACATAATGGTGCACCTTGGATAGCTGCAGAAGGGAAAAGCTGTCTCTCTGTAAAGTAACGAGGTGTTTCCTACTGCTACCTGTACAAAAGAAAACGAATAGAAAAGCTTCTAATTTTATAACCTGTAAATGCTTCTAGTTACCTGTAGTCCTGGTAAAACTGGTCCGAAGCTCATCCAAGCCCTTACAAAGGAAGAGGCTGGGCCAAGTCTTCTGACAGCACTCTCAGCACTATTCCTGCCCGGGAGGTTGTCTGGTACTTCTTGGCCTTTTTGCAGAGTGTGAAGCAACTAATGTGTCAAAAAAGTGAAAAACCGAGATTCAAATGTGAATGTGTTTCTCAAGCTAGTGAACTGTAGTGCAAAGTCTTCTCAGTGAGCACTTGTAAGTAAGTGGCACGGTCCCACGACGTGTGGGAGAACCTGTAAATCCACCTGAAGTCCCTCTCGCTTTGCTAATGAAACCTCTTTGAACACAGGACTGCTGATGGAACTGTTGTTTTCCAGACACCGTATTATGGCTTAATAGTGGGAGGATGTAAATATGTGAGTATATGTAGGTTCACTGTTAATACTGCACACAGTATTGTCAGGAAACAATTTCTCTTTTTAGTAGTAGTTCTTACTACAGGATTTTCTGTCCTATAAAAAGCATCCCAAAGCATAATCTGTTGGCTCCTAAATGTTCATTTAGCGTTATCTAGGATATAATCTATGTTGGAAAAAATATGAACTATTCTAAATAATATTCAGTTCTGAAGTAGGTTGCAAGCTGGCTTGCATAGTAAAGAAGATCCTAAAACAAAACCTTATTACCTAAATTGGTAACGAAGCAGCAAGTTAATTTTTGGATCTATTAACTTTCATTTGCTAACCTTGACATAGTTGTGTTAGCTTACAAAAGAGAAACCTTGATATAGCTACAAGGGTTGTTTTGTCAGTGCGGTAGGACAAAATTGTTTAAGGAGCTATAAATATTTAAATATTACACAGTAAGTTTTCAGATTTTCTGGCAGCCAAAACCTACTTCAGCTTCAATCTGAAACCAATCAATGGAAAGTTACTAGCAAAATTTGTGTGATGTTAGCGGTGCTTGCCTGAAATTCTCATCTGCCACCACACGTCTTTTGTATTTACTCATTGCATCAGGGCTTAAATTCTAAGCATCTTTAGGCAAGTGTTGTGCTGGTAAGAGATGCAAGGCTTAAGGGGAAGCAGTAGTTCCATGAGGGCGATGCAAGCCGCAGCTGGCTGTATTGCCTCTCAGAATTTCTGTTCCCTGAATAATCACTTTTACTGTGTGGAAAACAGTACTTTGGGGGGGCGGAGAAATATTAATTGTCTGGGTTTGCTAAGGCATTATACTTTCCAAGTGCCTCTTTATTGTTGGAGGGGTTGTTTGTTTAATTTTGAATGTCTTTGTAATGCTGGCATTGACAGGAAACCACAAGGTAGGAATTTCAGGTGAAAGGTACCCATCCTCCCTTCCAGATTAGGTATCATATTACAAAACAAATAACTATTTGAGCAATTAAACATAAGTTTCATTTCATTTGTGTCTAACAGTGTGGGTTTGCTCACAGTCAAGCTAATACTAAGTAATGGAATCAGTTGGTTTTTTTTTTCTTTTTTGTACTTAACCATCTTTTTTTGCATGAGTTGTAGAATTGCAGTTTTTTCATTTTACCTACCCTTGTCCTGTTCAGCTAATCTTGGTAAGAGATTCGGAAATTAGTAATGAGGACTTTTTCACATAAGCCTAATTTCTTTGGGAACCAGGGTGAAAAATGAAGCCTACATTGACATTGTAAAAAGTTACTGTAGCTCATTACAACCAATTATATAACCAATGTCTTGGGAATTCAGAATTTAAAACCACTGTCATGGAACATGAACGTCCGTTTTCCTTTGGAGTTACATGTTGCCATTTTGTTATAATATTTGAGCACTGTGATTTACTGAAAAAAACCCAATATTTTGGTAGTACAATTCTCATGGATTGTGTAGGTTTTAGCTTTTGACAGTGACCCAAAGAAGGGCAGCTTGTTAATTTTATGTTCTGTAAAAGTTTTTGAAAAGACAGTGAACCAGGAAGATATTGTGGAAGAACTGTTGATTTGATCTATCAGGAAGTCCCATAAACACATCTTGCTGGCACTCTTAGTTTAGTAATGGAAACTGATTAATTTTAAGTTTTTTTCACAGAATTTTGAAAGCCTTTGAAAAAGGAGCGGTAGAACGGAATGAGAAAGGGACAGTGAGGTCAGTGAAGCTGGAAAAGTGAGATGATGGAGAAAAGGGAAAGAACAATGAAAGGATGATCTGAAGACATAAACCCTGAGCGAAGCTTAACCTTTTTTGTTCACAGTGAAGGAATTAAGTTCTCTCTCTCTCTGATACGTGGATTTTGTTATATTATAGAATATTATAGAAATATAATATATATTGTAGAACATACTTTTAAAATATATGTATCAAACATCATAAGAAGAGGTTGCAAATAACCAATATGGCAAACATTTTGAAGTCTGAGGGAGAAAGGAAACAGTCTTTAGCTGATGGGCAGGGAATTAATGCTAAATTGCCTTCACTGTAGATGCAGTTAAGAGAAACAACTGAAATATTGGAAATAGAGATACTTCTATTTCTATAAAGCAATGAAGAGAGAGTTTAGAGAAGATTTCTGAGGCAAAACTGAGCTTAGTTTTGACCTTATTCTGTAAAAGTGTTTCCTTAAAATATAAATTACACCTTAATAAATTTATTTGTCTCTGAACTGTGATAACATAAGTAATCAAATGCTAGAACAAGTGTATTCACATTCATAGAAATTTTAAAAGTCTATAACTTAGAAACTCAAAAATATAAACCAACCAACCTCCATACAGGACTTAGTTAAATGTTTTCTTGCTTACTACTTACTTGGTTTAAAGCAGTGTCAAATGGCTCTAGGAGTCATAACTTACTGGTCTAAGACTTAATCATCACCTAGCCCTCAGGTTCAAAGATATTTTGTTCTTTTCTCTTTGGGAATTGGAAAGCCTCTGAATAAGTTATGTGATAGGTTAGGAGGATAGTTGTTTGCTTCTCTGTTTTAATACAAGAAATATGGCCTTTTTAAAGATGACAATTTACTGTGTAAATTGGATCCCGAGTTGTTACAAAACCAGGTTGTTTGACACTAGGCCACATAACTGACACTGAAAACAACAAAAAAATAGCCCCCAAAGTATCATGGGTTTATTTTTTCTGACAAGCCATATTAAGGTGGTTAGTGCTATTGTTTAAATTCCCATTGCAGGTTACATCTCTGTAAAAATCACCTAAGAGAATTCACACTGCATCTGTAATTTACCCTGACACAACAGTTGTCATCTGACAGTCACCTACAGAACCCTGTTCTTGAGATTTAGTGTTGGTATCAGGTGCAGTAGCACATCCTTGTCCTGATTTATGTGGTATTGGAAGGAATTCTAGAACTCTTCAGGTGCAGTAGGAATAATTAGGAACACTTGTGTGCCCCAGTTTCTGCTCTGGAATTCTCATGTCCTGGGAGAAGTGGTTGGGTTTTGACATCCCTTTTCCCCTCTACAGTGTAAGGCTAGGTTTACTTTACGAATGTGCAACTTTAAGATACAAAATTGCATTCATTTACAGCTTGTTTCCAAGCCAGTTAAAGTTAATAGCTGTTTCAAGTAAGTAACTGCAGCCACTTATTATGCACAGTAATACCTACTTAAACAAAATGCTTGATACTTTGTTTTTAATAATTTTTTTAAAGCAAACCCCAGTTTTTCATTGTGTATTCTTTAGACTGTAATTTAAAACAATACATAATACATAACCAGTTCATTTAAATTACTAGATAGCCACTCTATTTTCTTGTTTGCAACAATATTGACAAGGGTTCTTTTTAACTTTTGCAACAGAAAATAAAATTACCCAAGAAAACAGCCAGACGATACCCAGCATACGAGCTCTATCTCTACGGGGAAGGGAGCTATGCCAAAGAAAACAAAAATCTCCTATTGACAGGAATTCCGGTTCTCTTTCTTCCTGGGAATGCTGGCAGTTACAAACAAGGTAAGCATTTAGCAAAGTTATAGGTATGTTACAAAGAGCTTTCATATTTATGCATTGCTTAATGGCAAGAAGTTTTCTGTTTGAAATAATATCAACAAAAGTCATAATGGATGATCATATTATAGTGTAGATATCCTTGTTAGTCCACGGTTAATTTCAAGCAGTCAAAAGACTTCATTTTTGTTTGAAATCAGTTGAACAGTTGAGGTATAATATTTTTCTGGAGTAAGACTTTAACTTTTGAAAGCCAGAAACAGTACAGTTTATGCTGTACTATGGCAGCACTGCACCCTTGCTGTGTTTTTTATCGCAAACATCTAGTTGGTTTTGATTTAAACAACGTTTACTGCAGTTATGCCAAATACAAGACCTGAATTTGCTTAGAAGAAACTGAACAAGCTACCATCTGTGATGTGAAGTAATTATGTGCTATAGAAATAAGCATCATCTTGTGGCTTGCCCTGTAGCTTCATTATTTCCTACCTCTTTATGTAGTGGCGTTTTTTCTTTGGCATCATCTTCCCACTTTACACATAACCTGCTTTTGTTTTCCAGGTTATTCCCTCTTATGCTTCTAGGCTCCAAATGAAAAGAAGTAATAGTTTTAAAGCATTTTTATTTTTCATTGTAAATACTGAAGTTAGTACTTTGATGAACAAGAAGTATTGTGTTTAAGTGTTTATTCAAGTATCCAGTATTCCTTCCAGGCTGGGTTTGTCAGACCGTTATTTTTGTTCTCTGAAACGTGCTCTGAAACAGTTAATAACGCTCTTACCATGTTAGCAAAATTGATGTATATGTTTGGGGAAACCCACCACAGTCTAAACCCTGATGTCTTACTGTGATAATTTTTCCTTGTGTTTGCACTGAACTTGATGATTGAATTGTCTGATTTCAGAGAATAAAGTTATTTTCTTTGAGAACATACCTGCTTAGCATATAACAAAGTAAAATATTTTACCAACTCATACTTTTAGAAAACCCATATAGACTTTCAGGCACAATAGTATCCAAAGCTGATGATGAACATAATGATTATGAGGGATACCATATGGCCTTTTGTAATTGTGTATAAAGTATTGCAAATCTGCAAATTAATGCTGTCTTGCAGCACATCACTATGCAGGAAATGAAATGGTACTTTCAGGGTATGTTAGGAATCAAAAGGAAGTATATGAAGAAAAACTTAAACTAGGTGAGTAGAAGTATTACATGCTGTGGATATAACGTGCTACCTCAGATCAGTAAATATTTAAATATTTATTCTTTGTTTTGCAAAATTGATTTAGGGAGACTGGCAGTAAGTCGTATGTGCATTTTTCAAAATCTTTGTTAAAATAAATTGTTCTGCCTTAATCAGTGGCTCAGAATAGTTTTTGTTTTATTATGGAATTTATGAGAATTCATATTTTGTTCAGAATTTATTGTGGGATACCACACTTTAATTCTGATACCTAGATGAGCAGAGAATGTGTTGCTATTGTTATTTTCATACTTGTTTAAAATACATTCATATTTGCTGAGCAATGAAGACAGAAGTGCTGCTGCCTTTTCTGGCCTTGCTATTTTGATGTGTTACAGGCACTTTTGAAACATCTTAATTCATCATCTTTCATGGGCGCTAAAATGAACCTTTAAAATGTACAAAATTGAGACTTTGAGTAAAAGATGGTGGTGTGGTTTAATTGTTGGGAATGAACCTGAGACTGGGAGAACTGAGACCCTGAATTCTATTTAGGCATCTGTCACACACTTGCCTTGTGATCTTTGGCAATATTCTTGTTCATTTTACCAGGACCTCCAAGTTGTGATAAGACGCTTGATCCTTTAAATACTTTTAAAGTATTTTCAAACCATTTTGAAGATGTTCTTATTGTTTATTAGCTTTAGATAGAATTGGTGAAATGACTGACTACAAATTAGGTTTATAATTTTCATCATGCTGATAATATCTGCTTGGGTGTTTGAACATATAAAGTATTTCATAAATATTATTTCCTCACTTCATGAGCTTTGCTGAAATTTGTTTGATATGTTAATTTCTATAGCGAACTTTTCCAAGAAGGTCTCCAAAACTGTTGCACTCTAGAAGAATCTTGCTTCTGTGTGCTGGATTTGGGCAAACGTTTCTGGCCATCATTACTTATTTTATACGTTTGCTTTTGGGACTTTCTCTTTATTTTCTTCTCTCCCTACTATGCTTTTTTATTTGCAGCCGTTACTGTTCCCGTCCTGCCATGTCTCCATGGAAACTCAGGGACAATTCTGCACTCAAGAAGGCTGCATTAAATCGCAGCCGGGGTTAGACGGAGAAGACGGGTCAGAAGCAAGACCTTGTAAACAGAACATTGTCTCCCTCAAGAGTTTAGGTGGAAAAGTGTCCTTTAGGGTTTGGTTTTCCAGTCCCCCATACATATCTTGGTGGTATTTGGGAATGTTGTCCTACAGCTGATGGTCTTCAGAGGAATTTCAGGAAAGCCTAGCAGTAGCAATGCCTCTAGAATTGAAGCCAAGAATGCTCGTTTTGCCTTCTTGTCCTCGTGGCGGTAAGAAGGTGCAAATGAGATGGGAAAAGCAGCCCTCAGGTGGAGGAACATAATCCCTGATCTTGTATAAACTTTTTTTTTTTGACGCAAAATATCTCTGTAGTCAGCGGTAAGCTAAGTCACATAGTTAACTGCCATAAGCATAATATGCAGCTCTTGGTAACTCATTCCAAACTTTCTTTTCGTCTAAGCAGGTTTGTTCTTTTCCACATTCTTCTGTAAGCTCTTGTGATATGTTTACTAATTTTTTTTTTTTTTAAATCAGAGGGATTCTTATAAAAATAGGAAATAATTATTTCTTTTCTCATTTTACAATTTGGTTCTGACAGTGACTGGCTGATACTTTTGCTCTGATTATATCTTCAAATCTGTTTTTGTAAAACAAGTGTGATTGAGTATTAGAAAAGAGATTATTTGCTTTTGTATGTCTTTTTCATCCTTTTCTTACTTTTATAAATGACTTGACATAAACAATGGATTTAAGATAACATTTGTTTCTTAATAGATTATGTATTTATGCATTTATCTACTAACAGCAGTGCTAAGCAGTGACAATTAGACTGTTCTAATTGATGTGGTTTCTTTTCCTAGTACGTTCTCTTGGCTCCATTGCACTTAGAAAAGCAGAAGACATTGACTTCAAGTATCATTTTAATTTCTTCAGTGTCAACTTTAACGAGGAGTTGGTTGCATTGTATGGTGGTAGTCTGCAACGACAGACCAAGTTTGTGCATGAATGCATAAAAGTAATTCTTAAGTTGTACAGGGTAAGTAGTGACATATGCTGAATAATGTACTTCCATTTTGGAATGGAATTCTGGGCTGCCTTTTCTGCTAGAAAACTAAGGAATGATGAATAAAGGAGGGAGACTTTATAATGCGTGTAGATAATTGAATGTGATAATAGTGCAATAGAGAAGTGCTGCTCTTTAATAGATTTTTTTAATGCTTGTGACAATCCCAGAGCCTTGGTGTTAGGTTCTATATTGTGTTTCTAAATAAATACTTCCATGCACAATGTATGCTTTTTTGTAGCAGACATGTAAACTTTCCCTAGCTTAACAAAATATTAATATAGCATCACCTTACATTCAGTTTTCTCTAGGAAAGTTCTTTGGTAGTCTATGTCCCTAAGAGTCTCAGAAATTAAAATAAGCTGAAGTTTATGCTTACACAGGCTATGTAATATTTCCTTTTGAGCTGCAAACTTTAAGCACGTTTTTTGAGATAGCAACTAAATTTATATTAATTTTGTAAACTTGTCAAGTTGATACTAGTTAATATTATCCTTGAGAGGACATAAGTTAATTTTTGGGGGAAAAAATGAGCAACTGATAATCATAGTTCAATGTCAAATCTATTTTTGGTGTCTCTAATTACTCTTTGTTTAAGGATCGAGAATTTGCACCGACCAGTGTTGCAATAGTAGGTCATTCCATGGGTGGGCTTGTTGCAAGAGCATTGCTTACTCTGAAGAATTTTAAGCCTGAACTTATAAACCTCCTCATTACTCAAGCCACACCTCATGTTGCACCTGTAATGCCTTTAGACAAATATCTTACTGGTAAGTATAGCAGGTTATCTAATTACATTGTATTTCTCTATTGATCCTCTCAAGCATTGATAGGTGAGATTCTTGCAAATCAACAGCAAAATGGGCTGTTTTGTTTACTGTAATTAATCTATTCCTTTGTTAGTCAGGTGGTTGTGTAGGTAGGATACTGAGAGAAAGTAAGGTGTCATATAAAATGGATTATGTGGACTTAAGCTTCTGTGCAGGGCCTGGAGCGCTCAATAATTTGTAATTTTAGTAAGTTGCAGAGCATGTTACTAAATTTGTGAGCTCTCCAGCAAATCACATTTTTTTCTTTCTTTTTTGTAAAACTTGACCTCTGTAATGGCTTACTTTATCAAATGAGTTGCCTAAACAGAGTTGCTAAATTTAATGTTTGTCATGCCCAAAGGTTCGATGGTGAGAATATTGAATATAGGTATAATTATATATATTTACATAAAAGATAGATTGTATTTTCTGCTCACCACAATAACTGAGGCATAAAAAATGAAGTATAATCATTATGCATGTACTATACACTTCTTGAAAAGCTAGATTAGACTAAACTATCCTGATGAAATATGTGCTCAGTGGTTATTGTGCTGCTACATGTAGATATTGAGGGAATTGGTGAAGGGAAGGGAGCAGACATTTATTTTCATTATTCTCTGTGCCACCCGAGAGGAATGGATTATCTTTAGCTGCTGAATTTGATTTATGGTGCTTGTATTAATTCTCTGTCCTACAATTGATTGCAATGCAATGCTTCTTCCTTCCTGACTGTTTCTGTACTGTGGCTGTCCTTAAAATAAGTCTGTGGTTTGCTACTTAAACAATATATGTGCTCAGCTGATATAGAAAGTGTAAGTGTATCTGTCTTTCCCAACTGCTTCCTCCTTGGGCTTAAAACAATAATTTTCCTTCCTTGTATGAATCAAAAGTGATAATCAGAGCTTGAGTGCCTCTAGGGGGGCTTACAGAAACTTTTAGTTAAATGTTTCTATAGCTTTTTTGTATATCAAATAGACTTATGGGGAAATTGTGATTGATTTTAATATATTTTATAGATTTTTATACAGCTGTAAACAATCATTGGATTCTAAAGGCCCAAGATTTAAGAAATTTAACTACCCTTTCTGTGGCGGGAGGATTCAGAGATTACCAAGTTCGTTCAGGACTGGCTTTTCTACCAAGATTGAGTCAACATGACAGTGCCTTATCTGTTGTGGTAAAAAAGCAAACTATTTTTTTGGTTTTGCATGGAGCTATGTTAGATAGCTATTTATGTAATGCATGTATTGGTGTCTAATTGTAGTCTATATGTGCAGCATAGTATAACTAAATATGAAAATACTACATGTCAAAACACAAAGTAGATAGTGTACAGTTATAAAACCATAAATAGTTGATGTAATATAAAGGAGCGTCCACTGGAAGAGGATGTGTTGGGGTGGATTTGAATCATCTACTACTTGGTACTCTTTCTTCTCACCACCTCCACCTTCTTGCACATTTTTAGTTTCAGAACTCAGGTTTTATTTTCCTGTGTTTTTACAAGAGATGTCTATGCAGAGACTGGCAGATGTGCGGTATAGGAGTAGACTGCTGGTTTAATTATAAATAGACAGCTTTAGCTTCGAGCTTTCTTTTTGTATTTATTGTTTTTCAAAGAACTTGGGAATAGAAAGGATCTACTGGATCATCAAGTCCAGTCTTCTGATTTTGCAGGCATCTATCTCCTTCCAAAATTAATCAAGCAACATCATAGAAGCAGTTAGGTTTGCCATTCCATCTCCCTTCCATCAACCTGTTCCCAACATGGAAGAACCTGGAAAACGCTGCTCACTAGGAAGAAAACTTGTAATTTCCAACTTCCATTTACTGTGCAAGTCAGCTTTTAAATGCGTTTGTTCTGACATCAACTTGAAATGTTATCTGAAATAGTTGTTATTCCCTTGGTGTTTACCTCCCTGTCCATTTTACAGAAACCTGTCTATAAATAGTCTTAGCTCGGATTCTGCTGGGCTACAAAGATTAACTCTGCATTCCCTTTGTCCTAGTAACCGTTCTCTGCATCTGCTCTACTTTCATTTCTCTTGAGTGCTGGTGACCAGAATTTTGCATGAGATCTTATGGGTAGTGGTACTAGTTCTTTCTCATGTTTTTTTGTTTTTTGGTTTGTGCATTTTGGGGGTTGTTTTGTTGTTGTTGGTGGTTTTGGTTTTTTTTCTTCTGGGCTGTAATGTATTAATAGTTCATAGCTTACTTGAATCAAGTTGTACAATTAGGTGATGAGCTCCATTTATGAGACATGTTTTTGATATTATTAGTCCCTAAAATGCAATACATGCAATACACTTACACAAATGAATAGCTTCAGACTGTCCAGTTTTTTATGCATGGTGTTCTGATACTCCTTTCTGTTGAGGATGCCCTTGCTTTTTCAAGCAGCAGCTTTCATTGGCATGCTTCTATTCCTGTGTGCCAGGTTCACTTATTAAAATAGTAAGATTAGTCCTAGAAGCAGTCTTTGAAGAAATTTTTGGTAAGTTTCCTCCATACCATTAGTTGCCCTTTCACCATTAGTCTCTGCTATCTAACACAGATAACTTAGTCATTTTGTTTTACAAGTCCTGTTTTGCAAGTGCTTCAGCACTTGTAAGATTTTTTTGACTGAAGTCATTCTATTGTACCCTAGTCCCTGAAACTCTTAAGATTAACACTATTTTTTTTAATAATCGTGCAAATATGTTTAAATAAGGAGGGGAAAGGCTTGCTTAGAATTTTAAAATGTTGAATACTAACAAAATCTTAACTTTTTTCCTTCCTCAAATAGAGCTCAGCTGTGCCTAGAGCTTGGGCCTCAACAGACCATCTCTCCATAGTGTGGTAAGCTAAGGGAACAAAAGTTAATTGACTGACTGTGCATCCCTCTGTTCTCTACTGTTATCATATTATACAATAATTTAACTTCAGCATAATATTATTATGATGTCTCTTCCAACCACTTTTATTCTGCTGGGTATTTCCTTTCTAGATTTGATTTTACTTATTCTGTCTTCCAGGTGCAAAGAATTGATCCTGGCTACCATTAGAGCTTTTTTTGATCTCATAGATGAAAATACAAGGCAGGTTTGTATGTGTCGTCTCCTGTATATTTCCCCATCATGCTTTCTTCTTCCATCCCAGAATGCTTCATCAGTACAAATATCACCCTATTATACAGAAAACTCCTTTCTGATTATTCTAAGTCGTGCTGAGAAAATGTTGCCGTTTTGTACCAGTCAGTGAAAAATCCCATGGCTTTGTGTTGTTTGACCAACATGTCAGAAATAATTAGGTGTTAACTCAGTTTTTATTATTGACTGCTTGATGCTTTATAGCTGTGGACTGAACTTTTCTTCCATAATGCAGCAGGTTTAGTTGACCTTGCACCAGGATAAACAAATTTTGCTAGCTGTGTAGCTTTGAATGTGACCTCTCAATGTGTTGTTGAGTCACCTTCTCTGACTAGTATACAAAGGGTGAAAAACTCTGATAGTTTAACTCAGACATAATACTTCTCAAACTTCCACATGTTGTCGTCATAGTGGCCAGCACGTTTTTGTGGTGTTCTTTTGCAAACAGCACTTACAAAAATAGAATGCAAGTAAAATACTAGCACGTTTGTTTACCTCCAGCTACCATTATTTATTGCTTTTCTAAATAAATATCTTGCATCTTACTTTTTGAAAGCTGTTGGAGAAATCTCCCATTGTACTCTGTTCTCTTTCTGAAATGTTATGCAGCAATAAACATGAATTGGAATTAAGGTCCAAGAGGTTGAAAATACGTAAGAGCAGAGCCCCAGACATGGAAGAGGAAGGCTTCCAGGTGTTCTTTCTGAGGCTGTTTGGGGCAGACTTCTCTAGTTTCTTAGGTGTATTCACTTTAAGATGTGATTTAGAGAGACAAAAAGGGGGTACAGTTGTTCTGGAGTTGACTGGCAGTGTGCTGGAGGGCAAAACTTTTCAGAAATCAGTTATAATGGCCACAGTTTTGGAAAGCTGAATAGACAAAAATTAGTCCTGGAAATTTGATTTTGAAAAAAACAAACAAAAAACCCCAATCCCAAACAAAAGTGAATCCCAATGTAGCTGTACAGCTATCTGGATGCTTGAAATATTAAGACAAGGTGTAGTAAGGTGGATTTGTGAACTCAGACTAGTAAATATAAATGTGAGAATGTTTCCTAAACTCTGGCATAAGTGTGTTAATTCAGGAAGAATGCATGTGTGTCTATAAAGAAAGTTTAATAGAATGGTTTCCTCACGTTAAGAGTAGGCAAGGATATAAAACTCCTGAAAGTTTTAGCTATGCTTTATAACATGTGTAGACTTTCTGTATTGCAGTGACTGACTATTGGTGGCACTTCATTTGTTCAGATTATTGAATTTAGAATAGAAAGCGTACCATGTTTTCCAACAATCTCTCCTGCCTCTTATCACCAAAACTGTATTGCTAGCTATGATCATGTGATGACTCTAAATCACACAAATTGGTAAAATAAAATTTGATAATATTATCTTTTTTTTTTTTTTTTTTTTTTTTTTTTTTTTTTTTTTTTTTTTTTTTTTTTTTTTTTTTTTTTTTTTTTTTTTTTTTTTGTATTTAGATAACTGAGGATCCAAAGAAGAGAATGTCCATACTGAATCACCACTTTGTGAGACACCCTGCAAAGATATTTGAGGAAAATCCTGAAGCTTTTATGGAACTCACAGGTGTGCAGCAGTTTTCTTTTCAACAGGATTCAGTTATACTCCTTTGCTAATATTTAATCTCTCACTAACAAACTTCTGGAATACATTTTGTCCTTCTTCAGACATTGCTAAAATGATATATGGGTTATAGACCTAAATTATCAGCTTTTGTATGGTTTCAGCACTAAGTAGGTTAAAAGGGGTAGGAGCAAAGATCTGCCACTTCTATATGGCTTAGGTTCTGGGGGGTGAGCAGGAGTTATATTTACACCAGGTTGTCCAGTAGACAATCTCAGAAATTGGAAAGAGCTGGATATCAAAAGTACAGTCTAATCTACGCTTACATCCCATGCTTGCAGGAGGGATAGTATGGGTGTTGTAGAGGCATTGTGTTAGTTTTGTGCTACTCATGGAAATCCTGAATATTCAGATCTGCTTCATCAGCGACTTCCTTTTTTTCATTACGTGGCAGGGTAAAATGGACTGCACACTAACGGTTTTCTTGTAACTGCTAAGAATGCATAGTTAAAAGGTGAGAAATTTTGATTGCATGGAGTCTTGGGAACTAAGCAGGACTTCTGCAGGGCACAGCTGTATTCCTAGTTTTGCTAAAGTGGGCTGAACCATTTTATGACAACGATTTTATTTGAGGAATTTTCTTAATGTAAGCTATTGCAGAAGTACTAAGGTACCTTGAACTTCGGTGTCCAGTTTTGGCCATCCTGGTATAAGAAGGCATTTAGGCATTGACATATACTGAAGTGAGTATAGAGCAGAGGACCACCAAAATGGTTAGCTCCTGGGGCATAGGACGTGGCAGGGAGAGGCTGAGTGAACTGGGTTTTTTCACGGCAAAGAGAATGCTAAGGGGGATCCTGTTGCTGTCTCCAACTACCTAATGAAAGATTGGAGAGAAGGTGAAGCTAAATTTTTCTCAGAGGTGCACAGTGATAACGCAATAGGCAGTAAAGTCCAGTTACAACAAAAGAAATTCCAATTAGATATTAGGAAAAAGTACTTCACAAGGAGGGTGGTCAGACACCGGAACAGGTGCCCAAAGAGGCTGTGGAACTGATTTTTTGTTTGTTTGTCTTTTTTTGGGTCAGCTTTTAGCAATAAGGAGGAATATGTTTAAATTGGATTTCATGTTTGCATCTTCTTATTTGTGGTGATCTCTTGACAGTTAGCTAAATTTCTGTGATGAACTTGTTATTCTAGTTACACACAAGAAAGATATTTACCTTCTTGCATGATAATTTGCATTGTTTGTATCTCTGATCTCTTCATTATTCTGTCCTGTGCTTTTTCTCCAGATGTATCTTTAAACTGCTACTGTTTTCTTGTATGTGTTATTCACTTCGTCATTGACTTGCTTCTACACAAGTTTCTGTATTCATTTTCTTAGAAGGCTGACAGGAACAAAGATTGGGGCTGTTTCTAATGTTGCCTCAGCTTTAATCAGCCACTTACCCCATAATTGCATTAGTATCATTCAGTTTCTTATTTGTTTTGTTGCCTTGAGAGCTTTGTTTCAAGACCCATAGGGTTTTTATTTTACAATTAATATGTAGTATTTGGATCCTAGGGTTTTGCTGTTTCCTGTGTAACTGATGATAACTGTTGCATGTAATTCTAAGCAGTAGCAGTCCTGAGTGTTGATTAAAGCTTATAAAGTTTATGGCCATTTACAGATTAGAGATAAGAACTTGGCATAAGTAAAAGATAAGCTTTTGGAGGATAATAAGGATAGTAGTTCCTGCAGTGTGGCATATAAAAACCTATTTGTTTTTAGGAGCTTTCATGTGGATTACAGTCAAAGCCTCAAAATGGACTTATTCGGTTAACAATGTAAGTAACATTTTTTTCCTCATTGTGTTTTTATGTTTGTTTTTTTTTCTAATGAGCAATTTTTTTTTCTTTTAAGGATTCTGATGGAAAATACTTCACATTTCCTCTTGCAAGCCACAGAAAATCATACAGTCACGTTTACTGTGAAAACAGTATGTTGGTGAGAAAATACTTCTTTAATGTCTGGAGTTTGTTTATGAAGATGTATTTTTTTTAATTTAGATTTGCTGCGGTTTTAAGACAGTTTAATGAACAGTTATTGAAATTACTGACATCCATTTACATTCACAGCCATTAACATTGTGTTAGAGCTACTTCCTGTTTTAGCATGTCACACTTAGTCTTCAAGATCTGAAACCTTCAATGCCACCTGAACCTCAAGTGTTTTATTTTTGACTCTCTTATGGGTAGCCCCAGATTATGTTCTCCTTTAATTTAGTGCAGTTCTGTATTGATGGTTTTGAATGAAGAAGTTATTTTTAGTGCTGCCAGGATTCAGCCATACTTCTAATTTGGGAAAGGTGTTCATAGGTTTGCTTTCCCATAATAAAATTTAAGTGAGCCTGAAAGGCTACAGATCTTCCACAAAGCAGTGGAAGTGAATGGAAGCCAGATAAGAAAACAGCATCTTCTCAGTTGTCTCCTCTATTGAGAGGAGAGGGGATAATGTGCATTTTTTAATATTTTTAGCTCAAGACACATAAATTCAGCCAAAATGTGTTTGAAAATTTTTTTCAATATTTTTTGAAGGAATGAATTGGCAAACTGGAGATGGATAAATATGCTTTTCAGAATTACATGAGTATTTTAGATTAGTGGCAAGAAAATTGAGATGCTTTCCTGTTGCATCCTGCCTGCCCTGTTGCCCCTCCTCCCCTTACCAAAGAGGAGGTTCATACCACCATTGTGGAAAAAAGAGTGTATCTTTTCAGTGCTTTTCTTATTGTCCTTCCCAGTAGCACCTTCAATATTTACATATTTATTGTGATCTTAGTTGTGCTTTAAGAGGGTAACTTTTGCCTTTGTTATAATATCTTAAAGACAGGGCTAGTACTGCTTGAAGAGGAGAAGGTACAGAACAATGTCTGAGATACTTGCATCATGGTGTTCTCGCTTCAGAATACTTAAATTCTCGAGGCAGGGAGCAGTAGAACATTAAAAATCTAAAGTATTCCTCGACTACTTAGGATAGTACTTTGAGAAGTTTCTTTTAGTTAGAAAAGATTAAACTATAATAAAATTGAGTTTTACGTCATATGTAAGGCAGATTTTTTTGAAGAGAAATGATGAAAGTTTGTTTGCTTAACCTTGTATTTGTTTTTAGAAAATTTATTGATTTGTAACTAGAAAAGCTGGCAAATGGAAGTTATTAAAAATGATTCCTAGAAACCCCCACCTTTCACTCTTATGCTTCATCTTTCCATCCTTGTAATTCCAAGATTATGATATCAGACTTTTAATGGAGGATATCACTTGCTGTTAACACAGAAGTCTGACTTCATTGTGAAATGAAGGAAAAAAGTTGGTGGGTATCTTTCATTAAAAATAATTGAGGAAATCTGAGACAGACTGTTTTTATCATCATTTTTGCTTTTACACTTTGGCATTTGACATCCTTGTGAGAGTTTGGTCACTATAGTGATAGCTGCTGCAGACACAATAAAAAAAATGAGTGAGATGAAGGTGGAAATTTGTTCTTCTTTTTAGCAAGCTAATTGCACCAAGGTTCCGCTGTCAGAGGATTTTCAGAACAGTTGCTGACATCTGGTGTACTGAAACAGGATATAGAAATTTTGGAGAAGATTATCAGCATTAACTCTTGTATTGTTTGGAGTAAAGAATTGCTATTTTTAATATATTTATAAATACATTCACACATAGGTAATGTACTATTTTATGGTATTGACTTTACAGGACACAAATAGCTGGATTTATGGCTGTGTGAACAGTAATTCATCAATGTGGTGAGTATAAACAGTTCCTGTTCTTTATTCAAATGGATCTTGTGAGATTACATTTGAATTTAAAGCATATAAAACATCCTCCCCCTTAGGAAGGAAGAGATTGGGAAGAAAAGTAAAATTCTTAATGTGAATAATTCATGATTTCTGTATCACCAAGAAACAGGAAAGAATAGGTTTTCTCAAAATTACTGCATGAATGCAGAATAAAATAGGTGAACTTTTTCTTCTTTGAGCTATATTTCTGACCTTCATAGCAATGAAAAGTTGCTCATGTTGTGCCCTCGTGGATACTACATGCTGTGCTGGATTCCTAAATTGTGTGGTTTTCCTATGACAGAAGACATCAAATGTCACTCAAAGCCTTCAGAAGAGTGGATTGAAGTGTCTCTTTTTTTTTTTTTTCCTCCTTATTCCAAAATTGTTATTGTCATATGAAAAATATTTAGAAATGTGGGCGATTCAGTGATTATTTGAATCTGGTCATTACAATCGTTACAAAATGGATTTAAGACACTGGCTTAGCTTACATTTGCAAAGTAAGCTCAAAGTAAATTCAATCTACCCTTCAGATTAGGGAAAACTTTCAGGTGGAATTGAGCTAGCATAGTATTTATCTGTTCTAGGATCTGTGCTGAGGCGTACAGCCACAGAGTCTTGCCTCCAGCTGATAGCCAGATGTCATAACTACTTTTTCCTGATCCAAGGAGAAGCTGGCTGTTACTCCTTTGTATAACCCTTGATCAGCATCAAGTGCTGGTTAGCCTAGTTCAGGACTGCTACCTAAAACCTCATCTAATAAGAGTGTTTTTGCTGTGGACTGTGTCCTGAGGTCATGTAACACTATTTAGAGAAACAGAAGTATCCTGGTATTCTAAAAATTGTAACTTAAAATGACTGAATGAATGTGTTGCAGTTCAGTGTGTTAATGTAAGTACACACCATTTTAGAACTGCTGGAAGCTCTGCAGCAGCTAACAAAATTTTTGTTTTATATGGTATGTTTTAGATGTTCCACAGGAAAAATTGGTACTTTTGATGTTTAAAAGGTGCTAATAAAACTGTGTGTTAATTCAATGCCAGTGCTAGTTTAGCTCATTAAGAGTTTTCATTATGTGTCTGAAGTTGCATGGCTAATAACTGCTGAATGTTTTGTGTATGACAAAGTTAGAGCTTTGCTTAACTTGTTTTTGCAAAAACAAGATTTGCAGTATCTGAAATGACTATTGTTTGATAAATTACTATGGTAGCTAACTGCAGTAGACCCAAACTTGTTCTCAATTTAAAATCATGTGAATCCAGAGAGAGAGAGAGAGAAAAGCTGGTATGTTAATCCACTGTTATAACGTAGTGCCTGCATAATGAATATGCTCATCCTTTAACGTGCATGAATTCTTACAGCCTGGAAGCTACTGATTTATCCTGGAGAGCTGAGTTACTTCCAACCACCAAGGTAAGTATTGTACATAACTTGTAGGAGAGAGAAGTGCTTTGTGGGGTAGTTGCATGTCACGGAAGAAGGATCTGTTCTGTTTACAGCATTGGAACATGCAGTTGTATTCCAGAGGAAGGGGTACAAACTGGCAAGGGGCAAGCTAAGGGGTACGTTCAGTAATGGCTTTTCTTTTCCTTTCTTTTTGTCTCTCTTTTTTTTTTTTTTTTTTTTTTTAAGGTTGTAATACTGAAACTTCAGGACTATCCTTCTTTGTCCCACATTGTCATTCAGGTACCACCCACAGTTGGCAATAAGGTAAAAAAAAAAGAAATGCAGAAATTGCTTGCTTAATGTGTTCACAGCTTTCGGATGCTATGACGGAAGGAAAAGGAAGTATATTAAATATGTGCTAAGTTACTTTGAGAAACCATAGACCTACACTCCAGTGTGGTTTGAAGGTAACTCTGTCATCTTCTGTAAGTTCAGAAACATTTTTCATTTGATAAAATACCAAACACAAGGCATGAATAGCATTTGAAACGTACAAAGCAACAGTTCTCAAAACAGTTCTTAGAGTTCTTGTTGGAGGTTCTAATGTTCTGATTGCATTTCTGAATATTTATCTTTTTGAACAGTCAGTTCTTTTATCCAGGGTAGCAGAGAATGCTGTAGATTTGAAGTCACCACATATGGATTCTGAGGAGCATGGTACAGAGACCTCTGCAAGATCTAAGACCACAAATAACGTGGTAGACTGAGTTGTGCAGAGTTTGATAGTTCTGAATCTCACAGATGAGTTGGATATCTTTGCATCAAGGCCTCTCAGGATCCCAGTAAGAGGAACTTGCAGTGAATTTAAGCAGACTTTGTGTATTACCCAGCTGGGTCTGGCAGGCCTTTCTAGTTAGTCCTGAAAATGGCAGAACACTGTAATTGAATTAGAAGTCTAAGCAGATCTGACATTCCTTTCTGCAGCACAAATACAGTCTCTGCATCTGTGGTATAATAATCCATGATCGAAGAAATTGTTCACAGCTGAAGTGATTATAATGCTCACCTATGAGTGTATCTTCAGATAGTTGTGACAGAGGCATCCTGTAGTTAAATTAGTAATATACAACATTCTGGATAAGCAAAGATGGAAGAGAAATCACTTGTGAAATGTAACCTTCTAAGTTGCAGTCCAGTGTTAGATCTTGGAAACTGCTTTTAAAAAGTGAACAAACGCTGGATTTACAATGGGATGGAAAATAATTTTCAAGTGAGCTAAATACTTATTAGAGATGGTACAACTCATACCTGCTGGATACTTTGCTTTGCTTTTGCATGATTAAAATTATCAAACTTATCAGGAGACAAATTAAAAATCCTTTTTTGCTTAGGAAATTGTATCCAGAGTTTGGAAAAGTCACTCTCCTTTGCAACACCCCCCCCCAAAAAAGATATGTACCTGAGAAGGAGGGATGTGAACCGGATTCTAGTCACTCTCAGCTGTTTGAATAGCCTTTTGAAGGCTGTTGCAAATGGGTGAGACCTAGTGTAACCTGGAAGTTATGCTTCGGCTACCCAAACTTGTACTGCTGCGTACAGGAACAAAATACCTGCCAGTTCCTATCAGTGGAGTGTGGAGAGGGAGCCTTTCAGTATTTGTGCCCTGGACTTTGCCTGAGCCTGTGAATAAAACTTGGCAAGTGCAAAGGCTTTATAGTCTTGTGCTCGGTTTAGATCTGTATTTAATATCCTGAATTGCAGTATACTTTGGACTGTGAATTCTTCAAAGAGGATTCCAGAACAGTACAGCTTCCTGTAACACATCTTTTTTCATTTGGTAAGTATAGCATATTACTTTTGGGAAAAAAATGGAAAACTAATATTACCAACATTTTTGATAATAAATTTGCCTAAAAATTCCAATGGTCAGGAGGTGTTTGAGGGTTTGTTTTTACTAAAGTTAATACTGCTTTTCTTAGTAACAGACAAAGAAATAAGAGATGTGGAGTTTTGACTAACAGATATAGAAGCACATAAGTCTCCTGGAAAAAAAAAATATCTGAAGATCTAGTGAGTTCTCAATTAATTTTATCTAATATGTGAAAATAATACATCCTTTACAGGGCTTTCTTCAAGCAAAATTCTATTAAATTCAACTGGCTTACTTTACAACATACAGCTCCAGCACTTCACCCACGTAAGAATACTACTCAATTTTTTTTAAGCTAATGTAACCACTGTTTGGAGAACATGAGTGATTTTTTTTTTCTTTAATGTTCTAGATATATCAAGCTTTCAAAATTTATATAGAGAGCCACTGCCAGTCACTCAAAGGTAAATATAAGTCTTCTAAAGTATAAATTTATAAACCAAAGCTTGCTGAAAATTCTCAAGACTGAAGCTGGTGGAAACAAAAGTCCTCTCTTGCAATGGGGTTTGGGCAGTACTGTTAATCTGCTCAAATGTCTCTACTAATATCTCTCACTTTCCACTTTTTGTTAAGAAGGATAGCTCAAAGAAAGTGTGTAAGCCTTTTTTTAGGCTTTTGGCCTTCTGTGTTTATGCTCTCTGACATACAGCAAGGAAGAATATTATGTATTGCATGCTGTGTTCTTCATCACTGTAGAGAATACCTAGACATGATTACACTTAATAAATAGTCAGAAATTTAAAAATATTTCACCCAAGCCTTCTATTGCTAAATTTAATGTGAGGATTGTTGTTTGAAAAAAAAAAAAAAAAAAAAAAAGTTATGGATATATTAGCTTGAGGTTACAGATTTGTATTGAAAACCAGAAGTTTTCTCATAACTGTCATGCCTTTAAACGTTGATGTCTCGCTGTCGTGTTCTGCAACAGGATAAGTTAAAAAAATGTCATTTTTGTTCAATGTAAACTGCGCTGATCTGCATTGCAATGTCAATTGCAATGTAACTGCAAGCCCAGTGATTCTGTATAGTGACCTATCTGCCACCTTTGTTTTACTTGCATTTTAGTTTTTGGAGATAGTTGCCACATCTTGTTCTTAATTAATGTTTTTTTTTAATTTCTCTTCCATTTCAGAAAGAAAACCTAGTGTTTACAGACTTCATATACCCTGGTCACATGAAGACTCAATTACTGTAGCAAAGTAAGGACTTTAACAATTATGACTTAGTTCTTGATATGTTTTTGAAGAATGTTTGCATCCTGTTGTGGTAATATTTCTGATATGAGACAACTTCTCCAATCTTAAGTGTTTGGCTTCTGCATCTTTTCCTCATTTACCTTTCTGCCCTTGTTGACAAAGTTGTTTTGACCTTTCCTTAGAATAAGAGTATCTACTAATTGTTTGTTTAATAGTTCTCACTAATTTTCTTGAAAAGGAAACCAGATTTGCTGGTCTGAAATTCTCGGCATAATTTTTGACCCCCTCATGAGTGGGGAATAGAGGCTGCTCTGGATGCTGGCTTCTTCCTGTAACCCAGGGTTTGGATCACAGAGCAGCCCTAAGTTGCTTCAGCAGCATAGTCCTGACAAAATCAAATTATATGGCTTGAAATATGTGTCATTCATGAATGGCAGTTGAACAGTCTGACTTTATTTTAGATGGCTGGAAAACTGTCTTCCTTGTTTATTTTAGAGGTCTTAAGGATACCTCCCTATTATTTTCCCCTGTATTTTCTAACAACATAATACTTGCAGAAAACTGAATTGTATTCTTGAGAATCTGTCCTTCCCGTTCTTGTCACTCAGCATATTTACGTGTTCTGTGAGGCAGTGTGTACACTAATGCAAAACTTGTCTGTTTTCATTAGTACCATGCCCCTCGATAGTTCCGAGGGCAGTGGATTGAGAATGGGATAGGATAAGTTCATTATACCATTTCACTCATAGCTTGTGGTGACACTTGGTGTACTAGATCTGCTTTACATGCACTTGTTGAAGACTAAGGTGTGTTTGGCTTTTTCTGATTATAAGGACAACAATTACCAATTAAGTTGCTGTTTCAGAGTTCCGTCTTTTACTGAGATTTCTGCAAAACTGCATATTGCTCGGCCTCAAAATGACAGCAGGGTTCCAGAGCTAAATATTTACTCTTCCTCAGACTGTCAGTATGAAGTAAGTAATAGAAATTTATTTTATAGCTAGTTTACATTGCTGTGTAATTTTTGCGTAATTCAGTCTTTTAAAACATGTAGCTAATTAATCAAAATAAATACTAAGCAAAGGCTTTTTGGCCTTTTTGTAAAAGTAGTGCATGTTACAAGTATTTTGCAACAGCTGGAGTAATATTGAAAGTTGGGCTCTCATTTCTAAGAAAAACTTTAAAGCATTTGTTTTTAAAAAGTCAGTAGTAAGCTGTTGTACCTTTTTAGTTATGGGATTGCTGTATTCTAATACTTAAGTTGGCTTCTTAAAAGTATTTTGTACTTATGCTTACCATTGTATAAAATAATAAAATGTTTCTTTTTTTATCAAGGTAATTCTGAAGACGTCACTTTTACAGGTCCTCGGGCAAGTAAGAAAACCACCTAGTACTATATTGTTTTTTATGTCAGTAGCATCTGTAGAAGTTTTTCCTTCCTCCCTTCCCTACCATGGCACTTCAAATTCCTTTTTGATGCCAAGAGGAACACTATTCAATGATCATTTAAAACCTTGTCACTTGGCAAGGCATCCCATCCAGATACATGTCAGGCCTCAGTTTTCAGAGGAGTAGAAAAGCACTCTAGCTCTAAAAAGCAAATGTAATGTTGAGCACTTGGCTTTGCGGTTAGCCGAATATCTGTAAAGGGATGACACTGTAGGTCACTTTCACTTTCTTGCCTGATGAATCAGTAGTGTTAAAACTTTAAAATACATTTGGCATCAACTAAAAGTAAGGAAAAAACCGGCTAAGTAGATCCATATGTTCCTTTTCAACAGATTTTCTTTGGTTATCAATGAAGAATACATTTTGACATTGGTAAAAATAGACTAGCCATCTGCAGTTTTCTGATTCTAAAAAGTAATTAATTAGCAAGCACTTAAGTGTAGTGCTGGAATACTACTGGCAAGTTTCTCTATTTGAATGTATGCATTTATATCAAGGATTTTTCATTTTGTTATTTTAGAAGAATATATGTGCTATTTGTATATTAATCATGACTTGGGACAGTGGAAGCCAATTAAAACATACATGAAATTGCTTCCAAAAATTGTTTGCCCAAAAGTATATATAACTATATGCAGGTTTTCCTTGGAAAGTGACCTTTTACTTCTAATTTTTTAATTTATTTTACTGAAACACCATTAACATGCTACTGTATTCTTTTAATATTTGTCTTGACTGGAAAAAAAGCATTCATTTATAATTTGGTCATTTATCAAAACACATTCATTATGAGACATCTGAGTATTTTCCATATATAACATTAATTGCTAATGGTGGTTATCAAATACTTATGCATCAAAGTATTATGCATCACTATTCGAATTTTTTAAGAAAGATTTTCTAATCACATTGTCATGCTGGCTTCATGATAATATTTTTGTGTGTGTTTTTTTTTAAATATATTTTTAGATATGTAAATTAAAAGTTATCCTTATATCCTTGTCTTTCAGATAATAAGATTCCATGCTGGTGCTCTTCCTGTCTATATTGTTTCTAATATTCTTCTTACTTATGGAGGACAGTTGAGCACATTGATATCAACAGGTAGCTTTCTAGAAAAACATTTTTCTTTCTGTCACGAGTGTTTTTAGAGAAATTACTTATCCAATTAGTAGTATCCAATTACAGTAGCTAGCTGTTGTGAATTTTTTAAGCTAAATATCATTGAACTTGTGCTAGTACATGAATCTATGCTCTTCAGTTTCAGTTTTTGTTTGTTGGTAGTTCTCCAAGGTTGCGTTGTAGCAGAACATTTCCTTATTATTTTAGTCTGCAGTGCCTTCTTTGTGAATGATTGGTGTTGCACAATATTTTAGAATTAATAGAAGTCTACTTAAAAATACATTTAAAAGTTTTTAAAATATATTGTTAATATGCACAAAACACTTTTTGTAGCATGAAGATGAGATTTGCAGACTTTTAGACATGCCTTCAGACAAAATGCATTTTTATTTTAATTCAGGTGGTGTTTGTAACAAACTCCGTTATCTCTAGAGAAGCTCTTGTGACATATTACCTAATATGAGTGATGCAGTGAATAAGAGCCTTGATGATGAAGCATACTGACTTGCAGTGCTGTTATAAGACATGGTTACCTTGTTTTAAAGTAAACTTTCAAACCTTTGTCTGAATTTACTTTTTGTTGTGGATCTTCTTTGTTAAAGTTCATGACAAAATAATAATTGTAGATGCTTTCTGTTTTTGATTCTAGGCCAGTGTTCAGACTTTTCCCTTGAACTAGTTAGGACAGCTAAACCCTACAAAGTAGAACCTCTTATAAGCATTGTTGTGTTTCTGCAGGGGTGAGTTTACATAACTTATTTGTTTAAAGCAGTTTCCAAAACAGAAGGTTCAGTAAAACTATTGGTGGGGAGGAATATTATTTTATCCGTAGTCATTGTGAATACCTGACTGTGATTTTGTTTGAAAGGCTGTAGTAGGAGGAATAGTTGATGGATATCTTACTGTAATGGCAACTGGAAGTGATAAGTAATACTGCTTTCATGTTTTTGGCAGGTTTAACTGGTTTAGAGAGATATGGGAATCACTGTCACTACCAGAAGTGGATGCTGCTGTACTGAATAGTCGGGATGCATGCTTCCCCCTTGTGTCCCTGATTCTATTTCTTTTTGGGACAGGCATTGCCTACTGGAGTGGAGTATTTTTCTCTACATCTCTGAGACTCTTCTCTTCATTGTGGTTAACTCTGATTAGGTAAAACAACATTATGCTATATAATTATGCTCTTTTAGATGACTGTGACCCTGTCAATTTTTTCTGTTTGCTTCAGTGTGAATGCTTGGGTAGATTGAATTCTGCAGTGTAGTTCATACATCATTTTAGACATCTGGGTTTGTCAGTGTTAAGTACTAATGAAATAAGAGGATTGCCTCATATTCCTTATTCCACATCTCCAAAAGGAACATAAATGACTTTCTTCTTTCCTTCACCAGCTGTTTTAAAGGTTCTCAGTTTGTTTTTGAGGAAAGCTTGTTGGGGAAAAGAAAGCAACTGAACTATTCCCTTTTCAGCAGCTCAAAAAATAAATGCATATATGTATATAAGCATTGCAATCTATTCCTCATTATTTGTATTGATAAACTGCATTAAAGAACACAAGCAGGTTTGTAAAACAAACTCCTTGGATATTCATTTCATTCTACAAGACTGATGAATTTCATAGATCATGTCTAAGAACACTGGAATGTTTTTGCTTGTACAGATGAGTATTCAAATATGAAAGTGGGTTTAAAAAAAGCAAGGAAGATAAAAAGATTTTGAAAGAGTAAATTAGTAAATTGGATAGCATGCTTAGCTATTTTAATGGTTTGACTGTTCTGACACTGATAACAGTCCTCAGCTAGATTTGAGCCAACTCTCTGTCTCCAGAAAGTTGGGATGCTCTTTAGTCAGAAAATATCAGCTAAATGAACTCTTCCTTTTTTTCATCACTAGCACTTCTGACCTTATTCTAGCAAATAATAGATGTGGTGTCAGCTATTTCTTCTCAGCCACCTTGTTTATAAATTACAGTAGATGGTTCGGTATTAGTCTTAAGTGATGAAGTGATGAACTTCTAAGTTTTGAAACTACCCTTACTAAATTTTTAAGGGTTTTAGCTCAATTCGTACTCTTTTCATTAAAGCTTTTGATTTCCTGCAACCCCTGAGAATGTCTTGGTCAGAGGCAGGAAAATAAGATTTTCTGTGCCTCCCTGAAAGTCAGCTGGTTCATTTTGAAATTCTAGTGCTTTACACAGTTCTAGTAGCTTATTTTTTTTGATCTACTGCTGAATTTCTTGGGAAAATACCCAACACATTTATTTTCTATAAATCTACACATTTATTTTCTATAAATCTCTTTAAAGTAGATAGTATTCACTTTTGCTCAGTGTTCTGAAATGATCTAATATGGCCAGCAGCAAAGAATTTGTCACTAGCTGTCTGTGGAATTCTTTGTTCTTGTCAGTTAGCCTTCTTTTTGTGGTTATTTTCAATATTTGTTGCAAAGGCTTTTAAAATTGTATTTTCCAAATAATGTTTTTTCTGTTTTCAATGTCTATTTTAATACTGGAATATTCCATGAATATCTAAGTGGTACAGACTTTTTCATAGTTCTATTGCACTTCCTTCCCACTGCATTCCCTCATTGTCACACCTGCTCAGTTCATCTTTGTCATTTCAGATTCATACTTGTCTCTTAGTTGTATCTACTGGAATCCAGAAACTTAAAATAATATTTTCTGTGTCTCTCAGACTGTCAGCAAGCAGAAATTCCTGTCTGGGAAGAATGTTTGTCACAGAATTAATCTCTTGGATGCTTATTGTTGTATATTGCTGTACTATCACGGAACACTGCAGTGCATTAACATTTGTAGTAGAGTCACTTTCACGATGCAGCTGTGCAGTAACAAGATACTTGTTCTCTTGGGCCGAACAGAAGAACTTAAGTGACTGATGCAGATCTACGGTTAGCATTATCTAATGTTTTGTGTTCACCAATGTTTGCTTTATGTTCCCCAAATGAAGTAAAAATAATATATTAGCTACAGATACAACATTCTAGAAGGTGCAGCAGTTGGTATGTACGTTAAAACTTGTCTAACTTTATTTTTCCAGTGTTTAATCAGTATTCAGGAACAATTTATTCTTTTCAGTCATTCACGAAACAGAATTATTCTTTGCTCTTTGTAGGTCTGATGTTGTTACAAAAGTAAAACAGCAGTTTTGTTTCTTTTTTTTTAGACCTACTGTACTTCAAAAAGATAAGTTGATGACACCCAGAAGACTCTGTGCAGTGTTATCCCTTGCTTTGGTTAGCTGGACCACTTGCGGTGCATTTGCTCTATTCATTATTTATCTTCAATACTTGTTTAAGGTACTGAAAGGCTAAACATTTTGAATTTGTAACTGAATTCAAAATTTTGTATGCTTTGAATTAACCCAATGTTAAAAGCAAAAATACAGATTACCATTTTTCATACTTAAATGGTAGGATTTGCGTATTTGAAATAGGTCTTTTTTTGAACTTATCAGGCTCTCACAATCTTGTAATTTTTAGAACTATTTTTCTTCTTTTGATAACACTTCTTCCAAAGAAATGTATGATCCTGTATGTCCACTACAATAATGCATATAATTGCAATTCTTAACTTATAGATAGGTAATGTTATCAAATCAAAGACTAATAACTCCCTTGAAGAGACACTTTAGCAAAGGGAGGACTTGGAATGTCCTGTAGAATACCTTCTATCTTTAAAGACTTTTCACAAATCTTTACAGAATAAAAGGAAGGAGGGTGGATATATTGTAGAATTAGGATAGTCTTATTGTATGTCTAATCTGATCCCTTGGGTAGTGCCACAAAGATCCGTATTTAGTCCCTGCCATTCAGTTTCCATGGTCTTCCTTCCATCAGAGTGTCTAACTTACCTGATTAACCCTATGGTTATATAGCTGCTAAATCAGTTACTAAGCTACTAGGGAAGCATTGGAGCATGCACCTGGAAGTGGGGGCACAAAGCAGAGCAGCTTCCAGGTGGTCTGAAGCAGGTAGGTGGCAGCTAAAAGCACAGCCTGGAAGTGAAAAGGAACAGCGCTGTCTCTAATTGAACTCCCTGTGACATACGGTTACCCTGTGAAGGATGTTCCCATGCTGACATCACTGCCCCTTTTGCTGTAAATCCCTGATGTGGGACTTGTCCTCTGTGGCCTGTTTATGGGTTTCTGCAGAAAGGGAAGCAGAACTGAATTAGCAGGAGGAGGTGAGGAATATGCAGATTTTCCACTCTGTATTCTCTGTCGAGCACAGTGGAAGGGGAGAAAGCAGAACAGCATAAGTTTTCTCTCTGTGCTTGGAAATCCTTCCTTAAGAGAGCACTTTGGATGCTGCTGATAAAAAAGGCAGAGGGAGTTCTTGCACTGCAGCTCCACTGGGGCCCTAGAATCATCTAGCTATAAAAAGAGACAAAAAATAATTAGCCAAAATTTTTTTTTCTTCTATATTACAGCTTTTGCGTGAAGAAACATTACTAAAAAAGCTGAACTGTTTGTCTTACAGGTTATAAAACTGCATGTGAATGTAAGAGCAGAACAAAACATGCTCAATGGGGTAAGTCTGTTTCCTGCTTCTGTTCAAAACTGTGACCAAAAATTGTTTGGCAAACCTATGCATTATGAATTGTTATCATCTTGCCTTGGTAGTATTAGGTTGTGCTGTGATGACTGGATGGCTGTAGTTTACTTACTGTGTGCATGATGTGAAAGAAAAGCCAGGACACGAGTAGCCTGTTCCATCACATATGACTATTGCATTCACTGTTCAAGATCACTGCAGTGTGAGCTTGTCTGAAGTACATTTAAGAAGAAAACTTAGTCTCTCAATACATACAGAACAATAGTTTTTGTCTAAATTTTGGTATTTGATTACACATGCCTCATCTAAAAAAATAAATTTAATTTCCAGGTAATAATCTATACTACAGGTAAATATTTTTTCCAGATAGGTAGTTTGTGGAGTTTAGGGTTTTTTTAATCAGGATATGACAAATATGACGTATTAGATGGATATGGACCGAGACTGCAGTAAACTGGGAGCTATTTAGAAAAGAGTGAAGAAGCATTGGGTTTCATGCATTGTGAACTTTTGTTTCTTTTTTCAGTTTAAGGTATAGGATCAAAGATGTAAGCAGATGTGGATACAAGCAAACAATAACTACCTGTTCTTTTCTGCAAACATAGAACATAGTTAAAAAAGCAGTCTTCCAGAAAAAGTTGTTGACAGTCTTCTTTGGGTTTCTTTGAACGTTTTTTGTATGTTTAGTTTTAAATCCTCTCCTCTTCTTTCATCTCCATATAATTTTGTTTAATTTTGGTTTTTTTTTTTCTGTCATTGGAAGTTACCATCTGCCAACTCATTAGTTTATCTTTGTTATTTATTCCTACAGCTCATGTTTTACTCCCAGTTGCGTTACCTCCTGTATCTTCTTCCATGAATGATCATCTGTGATTTTCACCTGCATGCTTTATTACTTCTTTTATTCTGTTCTTCCTCCTTCCAGGAACTCCATTATCACTTATCACTATCATTATTGACAATTATCATTATCACTTATCACTGCATTGGTGTCAGGGCATCTCCACTCTCCATTCTTTTCTTCCAAAGACATAGAAACTATTAGTGTAGGAGAAATTTCTGGTTAAATCTAGATGCTTTAAAATTGAACTATTGAACTTCGCTTTTGATGGCTTTTTGAGGGATAAATTGCAAATTTCCTTCTTAAATCAAAGCTGGTGTGATACTGTTATGATGATGTTTTTCCTGCCTCCTCCCCCAGCATGGGTGCATGTTTTTGACTTCTGTCTTTTATTTTCAGGATTCAGACCACTCAAAAGAAACTTCACAGAACTCCAGTATACACACAGTCAAAAACCAGAGTTCGATGGACAGTATTTCAGAAGCAACACAATCTCTTTCCAACAGTACAACAACTGCTGAAGCCATTAACAGTCTTAAGATGCATGTTACAATTCTCAATTTATTCACATGGGTTGTGCTGCTCAACTTGCCATCTTTAATTTATTGGTTAAAAAATCTCAGGTAACTTCTTAAATTGCCAGTAAGGTGGAAGAAAAGAATATGAACCTTTCAAGATAATAAAAATTGCAAATGCTTGACTCTTTACATTATTAGCTATCTTATAGTATCGAAGACTTCTGTTAATTATAATTGGTTTTCCTATGCAATCTGGTTTATGTTATGGTATAAGTAGATGTTGAGTGAATCGGCGATATGTGGAAGAAAGTAATGATTCAGAAAAGATTTAAAATCATGCTTGATGCCATATACATTTAATGTATGTTTGTTGTTATCAGCACATGCTTGTTCCCAGCTTGGATTTTATTTGGTAGCCTAGTTTAGAAGTAACATGTTTTTTAAACCGTTTCTTTGCAGGTACAGTGTTAGACTTGATCCTGATCCATGTAGATCTACAGCTATTATCATCGTATGCATTTTAGAAATTCTTATGAATTCAAGTACTTCTGAAATGAAATCAAGGTATTGTAGCCTAATCTCCAGTTTTTGTTTTCCTGCTTCTTTCTTACTACTTCCATTTGTGTGGTAAAACTTAATTTATTCTGCACAGACATGTAATTGTTCAGCCTACAGAGATTCATGAACTCGTATGGTTAAATGTGAAAGACTAGGTAAAATGCATGCAAATTACCTGTAGTTTAGCTATGTGAAGAAAATCACCTGTATTTACCACATGAACTTAAATGAAGTATTTACTATCTAAACAATCAGTTGCATAAAGACTTCTTTAACTGTGATTTTTTCATTCATAATTCATTGAATCCTTCCAAATGTTACAGAATCCTAATACATTCAGCAATTATTGTCAGAAAGTTAGAAGGAAAAGTGAATTTTAAACCATTCTAGTTATATTCTTGTAACTCCCCTTTATGGGCACACTTGTGGAAATGTAACGTGCTTTCTACTGGATGAAGAAGTTTTTTGAGCACTTTGTTTTGCTGACAGGTAGAGCATTTCTTGTTCAGATATAAAATTAGCCAGTGCCTCATGAAAGACAGTGAATAATAACCAATATAGTTTAACCTCTTGACCAGTACCTGTTAACTCAAATGATCTAAAACATTAAGTCTTTCTTTGTTACAGAGAACTTATTTCTAAATTAATATAAGAATGTTTTAAAATGACATTTTATTAGCCTTTTTGAATAATTGCTCCTGCTTGTGCATCAATCGTTATTGCCCATTAGACCTATTTGTTCTGTTTTAAAATGAACAAAGCCTCGAAATCTATAAATTATTTTTCAAAAGAAAGTGAAATATGGTGTTTGCATACCTTCTGCATGTATGGCTACAAAAATGGCCATTCCTTTCTTTATATTCTTACAGTAAACTCTTGAAGATCGCAGCCAAAGTTCCACTCCCTTTGTCTGTTGCAATGTTGACCTTTGGACGAGCGCATTTATACGAAGTACCACACTTTGTAACCTTTTCTCTTCTTCTACATGTGCTGTGTTGTATTGTGTAACATTATACGCGGGAAGAACAGTGCAGCCTAGAAACTTAACACTGGAGATAGGGCAAATCTCAACAGAGAGATGCCTGTACCATCAGTCATTCACATTATGGGAAAGAGAACAGAATTGCGAATACTTCATGAAAAGTTCCTGGTTCTGTTCATGTTGCTTAGAAAGCTTTTCATGGTGTTTATTTCCTGACTGAGACAATTAAGTGAATTAAGTGTGTGTGTGTGTAAGCACATAAATCATATCAGTGTAACATCTCAATACTCTGTTTGCCTTGTAGACACTTTGATATTTCACTATACTACTTTGCTGAAACAGACTTTTTTTTTACTCGCTATGCCATACAGTGCATATGTTCTGAACTTGCATCTCTTGCAGGTCTCAATTATGCTGGTTAAAACTCAATACATTTCAAGCACACTGTGAGTATCACAAAAAATACACAGCCAAGTATACTTTTAATCGTTTTATGCTACATTTAAAAGCTGCCACAGTTGTGTCTAGACAATCTAGAATGTACTGCTTATATAGAACTATTATTTCTATCAAATCGTTTGTTCAATCAGCGTGAGTTGAACATTTGTGAGATTTTTGAAAGTCTTATGCATTTTACTTTTTGTGAGAGTGAGAAAAAAACAATATTCTGTGTAGCTTTCTATTCAGGAAGGATACCAGCAGATTCATAAACAATTTGCTCTAATGTTGTTTTAAAACATTGTCAGTTTTCTCTGGAATTTTGTCAATTCTGAAATTACTCCTTGGACCTTGTCCATATGTAGAAGCTAGCAAACGTTGAGGTACGGTGTGAGTTTACAGTGCAGTTGCTGTACTGCACTGTTTCCAAGTAGACAAGGCAGGGTTTTTTTCCTGTCGTAAATGGAGAATCAACCGCCTCATAATAAATGTCCATACATTAAATTAATATGGAATAGTTACAACACTGTAAATTCATACCCTGCCATACAGTGCTAACTTCATCACGTGGACAAATTCTTAGTAATAGTGGCAAATACTGACCATAATTATTAGCTCTGTATAAAGTATTATCTTAGTGCCTAGATGCTACAGTGACTGCCATTTATAATAAAGCCTAAAATAGCTATGCGTAAGGAATTCTGTCCCCTGGGTATGTGTTTTGCCAACAGAAGAAATCTCAGTAGCCATTAGGTTAAAATGATGTCTTGATTCTGTGTAGAGATGAGCCTACTACTTGCTTCTGTGTTAGCTGCCTCCGCTCTGTCCAAAATACCTGTTATCTTCATATGGAAATACTAGACCAGCTCAATCGTCTTAAGCGAATAGTAAGAGGAAATCTGCTACCTACAGTCAATCAAGTATATTCCTGATAGAGTAGTACAGCCAGCCTGACCTGTTAATTTTATCGTATCTCATTAATCTTGCCTAAAGTGCCTCAGTTAGTTCTAGTGTGTTGTTAGGGTCAATTCATTTGAGCTGGCTGGAAAGACTTAATTCACACAGTGACTTTCCAAAATGAGGGACAAACGTGAACTAAGCACGTGTTGCCCGCATATATCCAAGTCAGCAGTTCAAGTTATCAGTAAGTCATTAAAACTGCTTTAACTGAGTAAGACAATTGTAGTTAACCAAACCACTGTCACTGTTATCAGTGATCTATGTGCTGGTATTCTAGTTTTAACCTTTTTTTAAAAAAAAAAAGGTTAGATTATACATAGTGTTTGTAAATCAGAAAAATGATTTGAATAGATTATATCTTGATACTTTCTAAAATGTATGCTACAGTATATGTATATAAGATAATTTGTCTGAATATACTAGTAGCTAAATCCACCAGTTGGTTTAACCTAAAAATTGCTGTTCACATGTAGAAGAATAGAGTAGTTTTTCTACTTTCAAATGGCTGTGAATGAAAGATGGTGGCAGAACTGCATTGGGGTTGGTAAAAGGCTGTCTGTGAAATGTGCAGGACCTGATTTCTGTGGAAGATAATTTTCCTTGACCTTCATGGTCCTTTTGGCTTACTACTGTATTTTACTTCTGATTTCGCTTTGCCATCTTAATGGACTCTTTATGCACAAACCCATTTGTTGGAGCTGTTGGTGGAATAAAATAATAATCAGAATAAGGAGAGCAAACGATCTCTGTATGTAGTAGCTTTGATAGCTTCCAAAATCTGCCACAATGTGTAACTTACTGAATTACAGCAGCATAGAATAACACCATTTTTTTCATTTAATGATATTTTTAAAGCTGGGAATTGCATTGATAGTTGTTACCACTCTTCATGAAATGGGTTACAGAATCTTGCATAGATTCCTACCTGATTTTCACATTGGAGGTAGGAATAGATATAATCCTGAGTCTGACATCCCAGATGACAGAATTTATCACATCTCCCTCAACGCTCCCTTTTTTTCAGAGATGGTTTACCTTCACTGGGGGAAGGAGGGGAAGTCTTACTGCTACTTTGGATTTATACACTTTCTGTGTCATTTGGTAGATGAAAACTGTTCTTGGAGATGTGCATCTGGATTTTGCAGTGATTGTGGACTGTGTAACTTCAGCAGTTTGAGAGATTAGGTGTCTAATCCCAACTAGCTTTTCTATGTAATCAATGGAGGGGGATAGGATTAAAACAAGTCCAGAGAACAATTCATTCCATTCTAAGAGAGGACGAATTAGCCTACTTGCTATTCTGAAAAGGACAACAGTCTAAAATAATTTTTCAGGTAAAATACAATGATTGATTGTTGTTAGTTTTGGAGAAGAGGCTTCTGTTATGTGAATCTTTAGTTCTGCCACTGTTCACACTTATAATCTCAGCAGAAACATAGGCTAACACAATATAAATACTTTTAATTGTATGAGGAAGTGTAAATATTACTGAAATATCCTTTATTATGAGTAGGCTGCATTTATAAAACAGCTTTTGGCAAATATATTGTAATGTCTCTTAGTACCTTTAACTAAATTAAAAGTCCAGTTTATTCTTCAAATTTTAGATTATCTAGACTGTGTGGGAGGAGATCAAGACACAAATTAACTTGTAACGGATTAGACCTCTGCTCTATAAGGGAAGATTTCTATTAACATGCAGACCCAAATTCTGTTGTTCTCTCCTTTTTCAGAAGTTGAGGTATTAATTTTGCAAAACCACTGTTCTTCATCCATGTGGATGTTTACCACATTTAGATGGAGATTATGCCACATAATCAAGCATTTAAATTGAGATTAAATCACCGTTTTTTGGCTTGTACCTCAGGATGCATTCAAAATAAGAACTATTTGTGTGGCTCTTTTCTAATATTTTTTTATAACCTATCAGAAATGGAATAAAAAAGCAGGGTAAGAATGTAGAGTACGAAATGTCACTAATTTTAGGTACAGCAGAATCTTTCTTTGGCAGGGGCAGGGGGAGATTTAATAAGAAGCTTTTAGTGACATCTCCATACCCTGAATTGTTCTTCAAGTCTCTAATCTTTTCTGGTTGATATGATCAAATGTGTTCCTCATAGTCTTATCATGCTGCAATCATAATAGCTACACCAGTAGCTAACAATTCATAAAAGGTCTATATTTGTCTGGTAAGGAAAAATGGTTACCTCTTAACTGGAATTAGCAAATGTACCTTGAAACTGAATGAAGGTGTTGTCCAAAGGTGGTATTTTCAGTTTTGATTTAGAAGTTGGTTGCAGTATGTCATGTTTCAACATCCTGTTAAAAGTGGGATTGGTTTTTTGGGTTTTGGTTGGGGTTTCTTTTTGTTTGTTTTGTTTCCAAAAAAATTGTCGTGACTGGAGTTTAAGTTAATGTTATTTCTAAAATATAGAGTTCTGGTCTGATTTTGGTTTTGAGTGAGCTGATACATGTAGCAATTCATTCCAAAATAGTAACTTGCCAAGTTTTAAAACAAACAAATCAATAACACAACAAAACCCTAAACAGCGCAGTAGTAATATATTGCAGAAGACATAGAGACTCCCTGTATGTCTAAGTGAACTTTTCAACTATAACCTAATTGGGCTACCTTTAAAGTCAGCATTTAAAAAAATAAAATAAAATGTACTGATACCTAAAAAAACCCAAAAAGCATTGTTGCATACGTTGGTATTTGATACAAAGTCTTAATGTTCCATGTGTTTGCCAGTTATGAGGTTATGAGCTTCTTACTTGACTTTTTTTCTGAAATCCGATACATCTGCTTCTAAGCTTTGTCAGGACAGAATGAAGTCGGTTATGTGCCTGTGAATAAGTATAAACATTTGAGAAGCTTTCATTTGATCAAGTTTGATTTCAATACAATGATGAGTGTGTGTAGACTTTTGTCTTATTTATACTGGTAAAAAAACCCAGCCATTTACAGACCTTCAGTACTCTGAGCTACTGAAAATGTTTTTGGAAGCGGTTATAGTGTCTGTACAATAACTGTGCTGCTGTTTTAAGTCACTAAGCTACTAGAAAATAGTTAGCTGTAGAACAGACTAAGTTCTTAATGTTTATTTTCCATTTCATGATGAATGTTAGTCACAATTTACAGCTTTGACTTTTTACATCTCTTTCTGGGAGATGATCAAGCTAGCTCTTATAAGCACTTGGCACTGTACTGTGAAAGGTTTTAAAACTTTCATCACTGTTCCTTTAGGGGAGACATACTTTTGTCACCAAAGCTACATGCTGCTCTTGTGTACCTCTGGAAATGGCTGCCAATGAATGACAATTGAAAACAGATTCATTTTTATGTTAACATAAAATAGTTTTTCTACCTTTTTTTAGATCCAGAACTTTAAGCTAGTATTCATAATAGAATCCTTAAAATCTCTAAAAGTTTATTTGAAAACCTTTTACAAATATTATATTTTCTGATGTATATTCTTATTTATGGAAGAATGTATTCAAAGCTTTTAATCAGCTCATTTATCTTAAAGTTTAAATAAAATCTATAAATTTCATCTTGTTAATAAACATTACTGCTATTAAAAATAAATTTTAAGCATTTAAGGAGAAAATTCTATAGCTCTTACTT